CCTCTGCTTTGCTTTTGATTTTCTTTCCCATTTTTTATACTCAAAATCATGCACATACGATACATGTGCTGTCTAGAATAAGAAAATTGTTAGGAACCTTTGACAATTTTAAATGGATATGGTTATTCTAACTACTAGTTTTTAAAGAAATGGAATCTTGATAGTGTATTTGGTAGGATGAATGCAAAAATGGAAGGACGCAAGAAAAAAAAAACCTTACTTCCCACCTTTGTGTTGTGTTTGGTGGATGGACTTAAAATCCAAACATAATATAAGCATAAATTTAACTCTATAAAAAATAAAACATATAAAATCATTAGTTGATGAGAGTTTTTAAAAAATATTGTTTTAATCATTTGAATTTATAAAATATGATCAATTTTTGATATTGATTAATTTAATTTATTTTTAGAAAGAAAAGTCTTAATAAAAATTTTACATATTAAAACATGAATCCATATAAAAGCCTGTGTTTTTTTTTCCAAATGCATGTTTCGCTTATAAAATATTTTTAATTATAAAATCATACTTTCAATCAATTGTTCGAAAAAAGAGATCAAAAAGGTTATCTATTAAAAAAAATGTCTTAGCAAACTTGAATATGAAAGTTTAATTAGTAACCTTGCATCACAAAATGCGATAAAAATAATTTTTAAATAATATTATAGTAATATTGCATATATATTCTACCAAATATTGAAAAAGCCTTGTACAAAACATTCCCTTAGCACCCCAATTTTTCTCGAGTTGCCTCTGACTAATGCTTTAAGTCTTACTCTCAAAAAGGGTGGAAATTATTTTCAAAATCTCGCATTGGGAATAAGCATGGCCTGGACCTGGACTGTTTGAAGGGGTCGACTAATACTTAACCCAAGTACTTGGCTGAGGAAGAAAAGGGAAGAATAAAGGGTGAATAGTGGACTTATTTTGGCCCCAAAAATTTAAAGACTTGTTGGCTTAAAATATGGGCAGCATAGATCTCACTCTAGACACCATCGCCATTTTTACCATTCAATCGCCTTCGATTTGCACACACATACACACTCACACTGTTTTTAAGCTTTGGAAGAGAAATAATATCCGAAACTTTGTTTTAGACTAGTCATTGAAGGATATGTTAGTAGTGTGCAATTTCTTACCCTAATTATTGTTGAGCTGCTCCTCTATTTGATAAGTTTGAGCAAAAAATTCTCCTCCACAGATGACTAGGAGTTTAGATCTTGCGCAAAGCTACCTTCCCATCTCGCACAAGCTTCTTTGGCTGGACATTGACGTTTTTAAATTTTCAATTATGTGATTTTAACTAGTGTTTGTGTTTGATGCGCCAATTTTAGGTATGCATTTTATGAGGCATTTTTTGATGGTTGGGTTTCTATTTGATGCAACATTTTAGGTTGTTGCGATTGTTGGGTTTTTGTTGTTTGCATATACGGGACAACATTTTTTAAGTGAAAGCTAAAGAAATCTTCAGATGGTGCTTAATAGGTGAACGTGATTGGGTGTGAATTTAGTGATGCTTATGGTTGATGTCATTTAGTTATGCTTGATGTAGATGTTCTTCTTATACCTTTTTGTATTTGATGCGGTTATAAGATGTGAATCATATTGTGATGATGTTTTGTAGGTTACAACATGACATCTTCAAGTACGAAAGTAAGTAGTGGAGTTTTAATATTTCGTAATAGACAATGTAAATGTGGGATAAGAATAATGGTGACAATTTTAAAATTTGAAGGTAATCTAGGAAATCTGTAATTGTGCAGATGGTTGATGAAATTTTTTGTGTGGTTGAATCCTACTAATCTCATTGCTCTTGAAATTTCAAGTGACGTTAATGAAACAATAAGAGTTGAATAAGTTGCAATTAAGGAGGGATGAAATTTATAGTTGAGTGCAACGTTTTGAGTTATTACTATTACTATTCATGTTACTATCATGTTTTAATTTATTGATGTTGTTTATCATTGTACTGCTAAAATAATGTAATGGTTTACTTTCACTTAGGGGAATGATCCTTTCTTAACTATATAATGGTGTATTTTCATTTATGAAAAGTGACATGTTTAGTATTTGTGTGTTAGCATGTTGGATGACAGTGACATTGCAGAAAAATGATCTATTTAGTATTTGTGTGTTGGTTGGATAGCTTAGCATTGTTGGATGAAGATGGCATTGTAGGAAAATGAAATGTTTAGTATTTATGTGTGGGTTGAATAGCTTAGCATTGTTCGATGATGGTGACAATATGGAATGGTCTATTTCATTTATGGCATTGCATATTGGATATATTTAACATGTTAACTGAATACAAAACTAGATATGTCCAATAGAGTTACAAATCATTCATTAAAAAATATAGATACAATCATTGATCACAATACAATAGCTAGATACAATAACATCTCATAACTGGATGGAATACTAGTCTTAAACACAAAACAATACCATTTACATTGCAACTAAATCTTTTTAAACGCAATCTACAACACACTATTTTGAACCATAAACTAAATAACATTACAACCAAAGAAAGATTATAGATTATTCAATAAGGTGACTAGCATCCTTCAAAATGTCCTTCCACCTTACACTCCTGCTCTTCAAATATACTTGAAAAAATTATAGAAGTTAGAGTTTATCAAGAAGGATTTCGCATTGAATGAATGCATTTGTACTGTATCAAATGATATACTCTACATGAATTAGAATTGATCAATAGAAATAGAAGTGAGAAAATAACATTAAAATTAATGTATGAAAAAGCTAACTTACCTGAGCATTTTGTAAATTATTGGATGCTTGTGAAGATAATTGATGTGAACATATTTGTTGAGGTACCTTCACGACAAGTAATCCACAAATCAGTATTGTCATATGTTGAGTAGATGTAAAATAAGCATATAATGTTCGATGTGTCATACCTTGGACATATTAGAAGGTTGTGGAATTACTTTTTTTCCCTTTTTACTTGCTTCTTATGTCACGATTTTAGTCAACTCTAACATTTGTAATCACCATCCATCATTTTTAAACCTAAACCTTTCATTTGTAGAATGTTAGAGTCCACATTCTTACATGTGGTTTCAAAGGAAGCATTGTTTTCATTGCTATGTGATGCAAACATTTTTTTCTTGAAACAAATCATCAACATTACGATCACCAATTGATATGCACTTCCAAGATCAGCGCAACGAGTTGCTAATTATATCATTTTAGGACATAGTTGCTTATAACAAAATGATGTCACCAACTTAGGATCCTCCAAATTTGGTACTACACTAGTATCCAGTGTATGAGCATTCCTTACATCTTGTCCCCATCTCTTTAGTATGTATCGAACAAGAATTTACTTTATTTTCATTGTGTCCAACACTTTAAGTGCATGACTACATAACATTCTAACTATTTCAAACTTCTACAACTACATGGTGGAGATGTCTTTGAATTTATACATATCTAGAGATGATGCAG